ATCACCTCGACCCAAAATGGCCACGGCGATCGCCTCTAATGAACATCAAAAGCGCATGCAGATCTCATGCAGCAATGTGCCACTCCTATTCCAGACCTACCACACCGATAATAGGAGAACATATTGCCCTGCTTCATGTTTAGTCTTAAAGCCAAGCATCTGTCAGCCTTCACCTTTGACAAGTGAGTCACCACAGCAGTCTTTGTTCCAGCGTTTGCTTTGACAGCTGCCTTGCTGATTCCAAGGCTGGCTATCGCTTTCTCAATCAGCTTGACTTCCTTGCGTGACTGGCATGCACGGGATGCGAGCAACCGAGGCTAACAGGAAGTCGAAGCTCTGTTGTCTAGAAGCAAAAATTTGCCAGATTTCCTCTGCCCAGTATCCGAATTTCAGCATAGGTTGTCCACCTGATCACGCTGCACCCTCTGCCTTCGAGTCAACACCAAATGCAGGCAAGCCACTCCGAGTACAGTTACCTCGAAGCGGCAGCACGGGCGATCGCATTTCTCCGTCGAGTGGACAATGTCGCGACACTCCTGCTTTGCAGCCGGAAGAGCTTCGCAACTCGAGCAACAACTGCTTCTTCTGCACGGTAGGTGAGCCGTTGCTGTCTTGAGCCGTGACGTAATTGTCTTTTTCTAGCGGTGTGTACCGGTTCGGATGGGGCTTCTCCCCCTTTCCTGGTGCCTGGCCTCGCAGTGAAAGCAGATCGAGTGGTCACAGACCTCGTGAGTCTGAGGAGACACGGGTCCGGACATTCATGGCATCTGCAGCTGCACGAAGCCTTGCACACACCCGAAGCCAATGTTGGATCATCGGCCTTGCAGACTTAGACAGTCGACAAGGACGCCTTTCTCAGCCTTGCTCTCAGTCACCGGGTTACCGACATTCAAGTCGCACGTGACCGCGCAGTCCTGCCTTTGCTCGAGGTGTTCGGAGAATGAGTTTATTTGATGTAGAGGTATGTAATAGAGGCAGCTCGCTCTGGCCTTGAACACGGCATTCTCGCTGAAAGGCCGCGGGAGAGCTCTGCCAGAAGGCTTGAGCCAAGCAGCCGGAAACCGCATGCGATTTTGACACATGGTGGCAACTCGCACAAGCACGTGCCGTTTGCGAAGTGGCGCACCCTGCATCGTCATCGGCCGGTCGGACACCTTCACCTCTGTCATCGCGCCAACACCTCGGAGAAAAACATACTCGGCTCAGCGGCACACGCGCTGCAGCCACTACACCTCCAGCTCTTCTTAGAGCTGAGAGGCACCGGTTTTGGCTTGAGCTTCGGAGGTCCCCAACAGGGCATCCGGGGCTCTTCCGGTTGCTGCGCTCTGAGCCCTTGGCCCAAGACAGGTTGTGCGGCCGTGCCCTGGCGTGTTCGGGAAGCGCTCATTCCTTACTGGGAACGGATCCCGCAACAGTGCAGCACGGCGATGTCAATGTGGACGCGCTGGGGACCGGGCGCCCGCCCTGAGCTGTTGGTACCTCCAGTCTACCCCTTTTGCGACGATCCTAAGATCCTGCCGAACTGAGAGTGCTGCTCGACCAGTTTGGCCCATGGGGTTCTGTGTCCTGTGCATGACAAGTCTTCATCCACAAAGCCTGCATGAACTCTGCCAGGGCTCCGGGCCCTCCCATCTGCGTGCCTGGGCGCATCGTGGCCTGCACATGCACCGCGCCATGCGCGTGCCTTGCACGCGCCTTGTGGCCTGCACCGGGCCAAGGCCACCGGTGCTCATCCCGGGCGCAGCCCTCGGAATTAGAAGCAGAAGCTGTTTCATGTGTCCGCGGACACATAGAAAGTCGTCGGAGTGTCGGGGCTCAGGCACTGGGCCCATCCCGCGGCTCTGCGGTCTTCCAGGCGAGGCCATTATTCTAAGTCCCAAAGAGGTCATCTCTGCAAGCCGTGTCGCACTGTGCTCCAAACTGCATCCAAGCTTCCTCTGGCTCCCAACGGGCACTGGGCACAGTGGGGCACAGTCCACGTCTAACTCGGCTGTGAGCCCGAGGCACCAGATCAAAGGCACGTTGACATGAAGCATGCCACCAGGCCACCAGCACTCCAGCACTGAGCTTGTTGCGAAGAACGGGGGGGGTAACGGCGTGAAGCTCAAAGTTGCAGATCAACTGCGCTGCCGAAGGCCTGCTGAACGGCTTCGTGGTCGCGTTCCAGGGCTGCGAGAAGGTCCTCTTTCTCCGGCTCCAATTTCTGATGCGCATTCCCGATCACCGCGAATCTCTGCGCAGGTCCTCGATGCGTTTGCTGTCCTCCAAGACCTTGACGGCTTCAGTAGCCGCAGCCTGTAGATGGAACCGTTGCTGTGTCAGCTAAAGCCGGCTGCTATCTGAGGCCAAAATACAACAAGCAAGGGAGGGGAGAGGAGCATGTCCCACTCCGAGCCTCTCCATCAGAGCTGTGAAGATAGCTCATGATGCAGAGGAACCTGTCCGGACAACTACCGGTTGGAGGTCTGAACGCACAGAAACCAGCCAGGACTAGCAGAGACCACCTTGCGAAATCCAGGAATTCGTCATGCCGAAGAACGCCGTCCCCGTGCAGGTCAAAAATGGAGGTGAAGGCTTCGCACCTGAGTTCATCAGGTCTGGACTCACAGCAAAATGCCAAAAAACTGACGAAACGTTGAACAACGTTGCAAAACATAGGGAAGAAGCAAAAGTGATCAAGGATAGCCCGAGTCGCTGCTGCTGCGTCACAGCGAAGGGCTGAGAAGAGGAGAGTGAGACAATGATGTCGAAGAGCCTGGACCGAACTCTGATCAAGCAGCATCTTTGCACTGAGCAGCTTGCAGCATACTTTACACTTCGGGGCACACTACCAGTAGTCAGTAGCTTTGGCACCTTATCAGTGGCTTTCAAACGTCGAGCAAGCTTAGCACATGGCTCCGCGGGTTCCAACACTCCACTTCCATCCTGTAGGTACGATGGACGACCAGGAGCTGTGCAAGGCTGCTCGGACTACGAGGCCTTGTCAAGAGCCTTGAACTGGTCGGAAAACTGTGTCACCTCGAAGCTTCGAGTGATGAAGCTGAGTCTGACTTCTCCGCAGGCGTCAAATGTCAAGCATGCCAGGCTCTCGAATCGCTGGCTCACCAATTCGCTGTAGACAGCCTCAGCTGGCCGAGGCTCTCACAAAGCGGGCTGTCATCAAACGGAGAATTATGGCCGAAGCTTCTGGCAGCAGAGGCATGACCTGCATGAGATGCGCAGGTCGCTTTGCCTAGAAGCTGCAGGCTCCAGCCTTCACAATGGCATCGCGGTCTCTTTGCAGCTGGTGCAAGAGACGGTCCACCGCGTGACTGCTCTTGTCCACCTGACCGCGGTCCGCCGTCGGTTCCGGGGATGAAAAGCCAGGCCGCCAGGCCTCCACCTCCTCCTTCGCCTGCTGCCCCTCTGGAGTTTCCATGAAGGCCCTCAGCTGCAACCAATCTGCTTTGGGACCTCGAGGCTCCCAGGCTCCCGGCATGATCATCATGTAACGCACCTTTGTCCACAAGATGTCGTTCTCACAGATGACTCCCACATGGCTCGTGTCCTACCGAATTCGGCATTGGGGCCCTCGCAAAATTCACAAACTCGTGCTTGGCAATGATCTGTGCAAGCAAAGACATCTATAGGGTTCGTTCTGCGAGTGGCCGACTATCTGCTCATTGCAAGGCTGATTCCGCCCTGGATGCGGGACTCCCTCACGAAGAACCGCTGCAGGGCTGCTTCTCGCACATTGCAGTCTCAGGTGATCTGAGGCTCGCACACCATTTCTGTCGATATCGAAAAGGTCAACGAACTTCTTGCAGTGCTCTTCTGTGAGAACGAAAGCGTGTGCCTGCTGCAACCAGAATGTTCGGTTGGGGTCTTCTCGTGTCTCTTTTGCAATCGTGCCTGAGTCAAGTCCTGAACGATAGGTAGCAGCTCCGCAGGCTCCAGGGTGCCGTTGCCGTCCTTGCAGAGTTGAAGGTGCCGACTACTTGCTTGGGGGACAATCATCCCTGCCGAGGTCCTTGTCCAGCTGTGAAAAGAATTCGTCACACGATAGCTCGAACTCTGGACTCGAAAGCTCGTCGATGAGGGACTCGGAATAGCACCGCTATCATTGGAGCCTTCCCTTTGCTAACTCCCATGGCTTTCAAACAATGCATGGCATGGCCCTGGCCTGTGGGAGGAAGGGCAGCACATCCCAAACCATCTCAGAGCCTGGCTCTAGACTTGCAACTACAAGCTCCGACAAATCAGAAACCGAGTACCTGGCCTTGTCTGAGATTCTGCAGGACAGACTCCATCTTTTCTTGACCGAGCATCACGTCGGCCATCAGGGCATCCTACAGACTCAGCCAGTGCCGCAAAAGCAACAAAAGCTCCGGTGCCGATCCTGGTTCTCCACAAGGTAGGTGAGATATCCCATGACGATGCAGTAGCGCGCCAGGAGCAGAAACTCGGCGGGCCTGCTCCACAATGGCTGACCGAGCTCTTCTGACGGCTGGCTGATCCAAGTACAAGACGTCACCGAATTCTTCAGCTCTCGATCCTTGCTGCACGCAGGAGATGCCGAACGAGACACACCGATACAGTCTGCAACCTGTCAGAGAGAGTCAGCCGAGATGCCCATCGGCTCATGAAATGGTTGCACTGCTCCTCGCTGATCTTGAAGGGGTGTACCTTTTCCGACAACGGACCGCTTACTGGAGACTCTCACAGATTGTCGCGGTGCCTGGATCAGCTGGTTTATCACCTGAGAGGGAGAGAGAGCCGATTCGGGTCGGAGGTTTCGGAGATGTTTGAGGCCGCCACCGGCACTAACATGCCTGGAGGCACCGTGCTACCCGCATCGCAATCCTCCCCAGCTGCGGCCTGAATGTCGCGATGCTCCCCGTTCGTCTTCGTTCCGAAAAGCAACAGCTCTCAGGCCTTGAAGCCATCCATGCAAGCCTGATAGCTTCGAGCACACGAACACACCGCATCCACACTGCCACACAGCAGACACCCTGCTGGGAGCTCAGCCTTTTGAAAGTCAAGGCTGGTGATCTCCTGAGCTTGAATGTCTAGGCAAGCTCAACAAGGACTCCGACAGCCAGATCTGAGTTCACAGCCCAGTACAGCGGCTTGGGCAACTGTTGCAACATTTCTTGCAAGAAGTCCGGATCCTCCAGACAGCGAGGCATGGTTTCTGAACCCTCCCTATGCACCAGACTCTTGGGCGAAGATTCTTTCACGCACAGGGGGGCCTCATCGAGCATCTGCAGGAGCACCTGATTCCTGTCAGCACCCTGAGCAACGTCGGTGGCCTTCTTTGAGACCTTCAAGCGGCGGGGTGCTTGAACACTTTTGACGAGCTTGACCTGGGCTTCCCCGCATCCTGTCCCTCCTCCGTGTTCGTGAGGAAGTTCATGACTGACAGGCAGCAGGCACTGCATCATGACTTAAGCTTTTGAGCTCTGTGCAAGCACTGTCATCCTGCACTGCTGATAAAAGGAGTCAAGAAGTTTGCTGCAACCTGCAGACATGCAGACACACATCCAAATGTGCATAGATACAACGATATGCCGCCTAACAGATAGATAGAAAGACAAATCGATAGGTAGATAGATATAGGTGCTTAGGTAGATGCACAAATAGATAGGTAGACAAGTGGGTAAGCAAGTTGGTAAACAGGGAATAAAATAGGTAGGTAGGCAAGTAGGTAGGTAGGTAGGTAGGTAGGTAGGTAGGTAGGTAGGTAGGTAGGTAGGTCGGTCGGTCGGTCGGTCGGTCGATCGGTAGGTAGGTAGGTAGGTAGGTAGGTAGGTAGGTAGGCAGGTAGGTAGGTAGGCAGAAGGTTTTGTAGATAAATGGATGGATAGACACTTGGATGATAAATAGTGGCTAGGTGGATACGTAGATAGGTGGATGGGTAGATGGGTAGATATATCGAAACATAAGCAGATGAATAGGTAGGCACACAAGCACACCGGGACATAGATACGTAGAGACAAAGATACATAGATATACATATATATCCCTAAACAAACCAGCAAACAAACAAGCCAATAAGCAAACAAGCAAACATCCGTGGGTGCGTGCATGCATACATGCACACATTTGCCTGTCCATTCATACATGCGCACATAGGTACATACATACATACGTACATACATCCATGCAAGCATGCATGCATGCATGCATACATACAAGCAGACAAACATGAGCATGGGTGCATGCATACGTACATACATACATACATACATAAATAAACATATGTGTCATATGCGTTTACATCGCCTAGGCAACACTAGGCACCCAAACAACCAGCAAGCAAAGTAGAAGTTCAAGCAGGGCTCGCGGGCTTTTCCGCAGTAAGTCATCGATGCTGCGAATCGAAAGTCTCATGAGTGTCAGCATGCTGCACTTTACACTGCACAACCAGGGCATGCGGCACAATGCGCACACACACACACAAAGATACGAGTAAATGCACACGGGTACATCACTACATTCGCGAATCGATGCAAGCACGCAAGACAATGAGGCAAGTGTGTAGATGTCTGCAAGTTAAGTAACGTTTATGTGTCCAGCAGTCTCATTAGGGAACCGCATTTGCGGGAGCCTGAGAAAACACTCCTCAAGATAAACTCTACCAGGACGACGACGGTCACACCGGCCGGACGACGACCGGAGGAAGCAATGGCAGTCTGAGAATGCTGCCCGTCAGAAACTGTGCAAACTCTATGAACTCATCCCGCCTCAGCTGCATGCGAGAACACCAATCCATCTATGCAAATCAAACCTCATCAGGCCTTACGATCCTTACGCAAGCCAGCTCAGACTGAGCTGGAAACTTGATGACCCCGTTGCCATCTGTGTCAAACAGCGACGTGAACCTTGCCCACATTGACGAGCACGACACCGACTTGCTTGACCGAGCTACCAGCCTTTGACATCGTTCTTCGGTGATCGCCACCATGTGCTCCTCCGGAAAAAACAGGGCCGCTGCTGATCGGAGGCTCAAAATCAGGCAGGCCATGGCCTCCGTCTGACAGATGGCCTGGATGATGGGGATCAGCTCAACAGGCTCCAGGCTACCACTACCGTCCACGTCAAGACCATCGAACTGCTCGTGGCAAGCCTCTCCACCACATTCGCAGAGCAATGCAAACCATGCAAAACGCTCTGCGCCTCCTCAAACTCCTTGCTGGTAAGGTGATTCACCAGCCATTCTGGAAGAAAGGGGATGATGCTCCAGAGCCGCTCCTGCCGTTTCGAGCACAATGAGGAGCGGACAAAGCCTTCAGCGGCCCTTTGCCTTGTCTGCCTCGATCATCTTTATCAAGTCCTGGAAAGATCGATCAGCAAGCTCTGCCTGGCAGACTGGCGGACGAGCGAAAACACTGCAATGCGAGCGGGTGAAACGCTGACCCGCCTTTTGGATCATGTCTTTTCCTTCCTGTTGGCGAGTCTTTCAGTCAGCGAAATGCTGCAAAACGTCTAGAACAAGCTTGGGAAGTGCTCAATGCATCCATGGGCTGGAACACGCACAGCGTCTGGAGTAAGGTGCCTGACTCTCTAACCATCCGGCAACTGTGACAAACTGCACCATCTGTGTGAATTCTGCAATGTTGATCAAGCCGTCCTGCAAGCAACCCGAGCTGCAGCTGGGTTGCAGCAACGCAATAATTCAGCCAACACGGGTTGTCCAATACAGAGTACTGCACTGTCGGTCGACTACTTGTGCAGTCAACCAAGAGCAGCAGGCTCCTGATTGGAGTCGAACATGTCTGCAAACTTCCTGGCCCCCCGGAAAGCACGGATTGTAGACACAAGCACAAAATTGACGAAGAAGCCACGCACACACACACACACACAAGCACACACACACACACACTTGCGACGAAGTCCTGCATTGCTCCGTTGATATAGAGTCCTTTTGAACCCGACTTAGCTCCACCTGGTCAGATGAAGCTTTCACAGGGTCAACCAGAGACTGCTCGTTCACTGAGGATGGTGCAATGACCGGGATGAGGTCGTCAGAGGTCAGCTCACCTGCAATGAATCGGAACTTCACTGTGACTTCAGTTTGCTTCTGGGCCCCTGCCGCGGTCTTCGACGTCCAGAGCCCTGAATTTCTCATCGCACCTGGGAGTGCTGACTGGAATGTGACAAGAGATCGCAGGAAAGCGATAATGCTCGGCGGGTTTCTCGGCCAAGCACAGGGTAGAGAACTCCGCGCTTGCTAGGTTCTCGCGTAGCTGCTGCGGAATAAATGGTAGCACCTTTCCGCGCAACACACGCAGTCACTTGCACGCCGCTCCGAGACCAGTGTGAGCCGCCGACTATCTCCAAATTATTGCTGGCAGCTTCCAGTGTCATCAAGAGCGTCTCCACCTTCGCTCTCAGACGGGCTCAGGCGAGTCTGAAATACAGGCCCAGTTCGAAGCCTGCCTTTGAACAACCAGACGCTCCAGCAGCCTTCTGCTGCAGTCTCATGTGCTCTCGGACCTGAGATTCGATCGAAAGGCCGGGCAGGGTTTCATTCGTGTCCACTAGGCTTCCAAAACTTGCTGTGCGAACTGAGGGGAGGTCGCTGGACCGACGCCGCTTGGCCTGTATGTCAGCATCACGACAACCGAAACTTGGGCTTTCATTCGTTTCGAGGCACAGGGTTGGTACCTATCTAGAACTGTGGCCTTGTACAGCTCCTTTGACATCTCCGAGTCGGGATCAGGCGAAACAGTGCCACCTGAAGCTGCGAAGCAAAATAGGTGAAGATGTCATCTCGGTCCAAAGCACTGCTCTAAACAGGCTAAATTTCTACAGTGATGCATGCCGGACGTCCAGGACTCCTGAGAATGAGGCAGTATGGACTTGCTGCGCCATCAGCCTCCAGGGCCAGCTCAGAAGGCGTCGCAACTCCGCGCATGTCACATGCCTAGCTTGCAACATGCCTGTCGGCTGAAGCAAATGCATCTACAGTGTGCTCTTTGGTGCAGGAAAACCTTCCTGCTTACATCTCAGACATTGCGTTCGAGAAAGGTGGTCGAGGGGTTATTCTCCCAGTCCCCCCCACCTTCCCCGCCACCCCCCCCCGCCCCCAACGCATGCCCCCATCTAGGACCTGCAGGACTGATCCAATTGCTGATTGATGAAACACAACTCCCAAGCTCGTGAAGAGGCAGCTTTCGTAACTTGATGAGATCATGAAAGCAAAGCTCACGGCCGCGGCCTCTCCCTTTGCCCTGGCCTTAGTCACAAGAAATCAATATAAAGAATGACCCCAAGCACTTGCAGTAAGGCGCATTCCCAGATGACTCGATAACTCTACGCTTGCTCGGCTTTTGGCCAGTCTTCCGCTGAGCAGAATTGGTGCCAGCAGCGGGTCTAAAGAATATCCCTGGGTCTCTTGAAATTTGGGCATCACCGCCACAGCTAATTAGGCATGCTTGTCCCACTCAGAAGCATCACGAGTGGGGCTTTGGTAAACTTTACTTCACACTCGGCTGCCCAACCACCCTCAAGTCTAGTGCATTTACATTAATGTTACCAATGACTCCTGCGCAAGTGCAATTAGATGAGTATAGATCAGCACACACACACGTCACTGCTATGAAGTCGAAGCAGAAGGGCGAAAACTCGCATCGGCCGCTCGTGTATCGATGCGAACCACTCGGTAAGCACAATGACGGCGGCACTGCCCACAGCAAGGAGGGAGTGCCACCATGGCTGCATCGGTCCCATCAGTCTTTCCGGTGGCCTCCTATGCAGGCTGTACACTGGGCCTCTTCCGATGGTGATGCTTTGTGCCTTTGTGAAACAGACTTGCGCTCGAAACAAGCTTGGTGGCTTCCGCTTCAAACGTGCAACCATGCATTCCATGGCTGCAAGCTCCATGCCAGCCCGAGTAATCAGTTCTCATAACCTGGCCCACGGAAGTTGTTTGACCATTCATCAGGCCACAATCACTGATCAGGAAAGCTGTACATATTGACGGCCACCCACAAGCCAGGCCTTCAAATCTAAAAGTTTCTGGACTTCCTGAAGTTCTTGCAAGCCGTCAAGAAATCTTCGTAGACGATCTTGCATCCAGGGTAGTCATCCATCATGCGCTCAGGATGGAATTGCAAGCCGACCATGAAGCGACCCTTCGATGGATTGTAGTGCTCGTCGAAGAATCCTTCGAGAACCCCATCAGGAGCGTACGCCATTGGCTTCAAACCCTTGCCCAAGGTGCGCACTCCCTGGTGATGATACGAGTTCACACTGAGCTCGTCGGTGTCAATGAGGGTCTTGGCGAACCATGATGCAAGAGGAGTGTCTGGCAACACTTTGATGGGATGACGGTGGCTGTCGTAGCTTGGATCACTGGCATCCTTGAGATGCACAACTGCATTTGGAACCTCCTCCACAGGGTATACACTACTGCCCCAATCAGCTGCGGTGCAATAGAATTCCTCCCTCACCGGTCTGCGCAAAATCTTACCTTTAAACACTCTCAAACCATGACGCTTACTTTGAAATATCCTCAAATAAGTTGTCACATTTTTGACTGACTCCGCCGAAAGTTGCAGCCAGTGAAGTGTTTGACAACAACAATGTCCAGAAGCCACTGGCTTGTTAATGCAGTTGTCTGTTCAAGTTTGTCGACCGAGTTTTCGCCAGTACTTTCGCTCGACAGTTGCATTTGTTCTTCAAAATCTGGTACGGTTTTATTTATCGTGTGAAACAAGTTTGAGCATTGGTAGATTTGGGAAATCAAAGGGACAAGTTGCAGAGTTTGTGCGCTTTTCGCAGAGTACTTACAGACACATTACCAAGAGTCGACAGAGGAGACTGTATGATGCTGGTAAACTTTGCGTGCTCAGAAGCGCTGAGCTCTAGCGGCCGGTGCTACAAGGAGGGACAGGCAATTGCCATCACGCTGAGCATGGGCTCGGGTGTATTGAACCATGGACATGTGGAAGTGGTTGCTGCTGGAGAAGTAATTGGCTTCAGAAGAGTTCGATTCATCAGCATTTTTTGCAAGCGCAACGTTAGGCCTAGTTTAGCGAGAAGTTCCGTAGTTCAACATGATTGGTTGATGCGCAACTTGAGTTGCTTGCTTGTTAGCTTGCTTTGCACCACGGTGTTATGTTTCATCTAGTTCGTAAGTTTTGCAACGATCGAAGAATCGCATGATGAGTCGCAGCCCGATGCCAGGAAGTGGCAAAGCCGGCGCTCGACACCGTTATCCTCTCAGAAGCCTATACGCTGGAGTTTGTCACTCCGAGTTTCTTTCGGAGTTGGTCACTCTAGGTGTGACATTCACTCTGCAAACTTGCTTCAGCACTGCGAAAGCATGCTCTTTCGTCTGCCATATCACCTCAAGGGTGGGACCTAGAGCTCAGACAGAGCAGCTGCTACGCCGAAGGCAAGAAAGAAGCGTTCTTGGTTGTGCATGTGTGTGTGAGCCTTGGGACCTCGCGTGCCATAGGCTAAACGACCCCAGATCTTCAAGCTAGGTCTTATGAACCTGCGAATTGTCCTAGAGATGCGTTATACGGCATACGGAAAGATCCTGTTGCACTCCCGGCCCTGGACATGCGCAGTTTCAGGTGCAGATTCTATCGGGCCACTCCTTCTCAATGTCGCCGATCAGTGTCCCACCTCTCAGGACATTGAGCATCTGCGAGCCACGACAGAGGGAAAGGATTGGACAGCCGGAGTCCAGGGCCAAACGCATCAATGCAAACTCCAGCTGATCCTTCGGGACGTCCTTGGCTGCCCGAGATTTTGCAGTTTGACACTTTTTGCCTTGGTGCCGGCAAGCCACAAACTCGGTGTCGCTGGCCCACTTCATGGCATCCTCTCCGTCCAATCGGTCTGGAGCAGAGCATCCTCAGTGCTCAACCGCTTTGAGGCCCCCACACTCCGCGCTTGGCGCATTGGGTTTAGGCTGCACCCACACTCCGCATGGTGCGTTGGGGCCCCGGCCATACTTGTTCAGGACCTCGTCGGATATGTCGTTCCCCTCCACGACGAGCAAGCCATCCATCGGCAAGTACTCGGCCAGAGCAGGAACTGTCAAGGCAGTTCGGGGGATCATGATGGCGGCACCCCCGTTTTCTTGAATCAGGTCCAGGTGGTACTCACCGAGGAAGTCTACGTACTTTCCCTTTCGAAGGTGTCGACGGGTCACACACAGCACACGTGGTGGCGCCTTGGAGGCATGAAAGCAAGCCGTGCATACTTTTTTGTTGACTGAAGAGAAAGGGAACCGAACTCTCGAGTCTCCAGATACTGAAGACAAGAACGAGTTTAGAAAAAGAAAAGGTCAACCGAGGGAGATACCGTCCATGTCGTGGAAAGCTCCCTCGTCAGCTTGTAGCGCTGCAGCTCGGATCGCTTCGAGAGATGCTCCCTCCTCTTGCTCGGAACTTTGTGGGAAATCCTGGCCGGACTTGGCCCTTCATCAGTTGCGTCGCTGTCATCTCCTCCACGCGCTACTCGGTACAAGGGAGAACACATTTTGCCATGCTCACGATCTTCATCGGTATCAATATCCCTCTCGTCGAGCCCTACGATGGCAAAGTGGGGATCCATGTCATCGCTTGGGACCTGCCTGCGCTTGTAAATGCAGGAATCAGAGGAGATGCGAGCATAGCCTTGAGCTCCACTGTATGCCATCGCCGACACCTACAACAATGACAAGAGTTGCCTCGCTATCAAAAATCAGCGCTGCCTTCGAGCATCAGCACGCGGGTAAGATCATACAAGGAAGCTTTTGACAAGATGTCCGGCAAGTTGTGATGAATCGGAGGGCACAATACTCTTCGCACTGGGGAGAGTGAGATGCTATCTTGCATGCTGAGCCAGCCGTGACCAAAGTGTCGGGCTGCAAGCTTTCGTGCCTTGGACAGGTGCTCCTGGTCAAGCACAACCAGGAGCAAGCAGCAGGTAGAAAAGACGAGCTATGACGTTTCTGCTGGCCTGCACATATTTGTGAGGATCTGCAGGCTTGGCAACAAGGAGTCCATGGAGCAGCTCCTGCATTGCATGCTTCACTTCGGCCAGAGCCATGACATGCCGGACATGAGGAAGCGATAATTTTCTGGAGTCACAATCAAGTCGGGACCAGTCTTAGTCTTGACGTCCTGGAAGGTTCTCACCAGATCATGCTCCTGGCCAGCGAATGGTGAAACGAGTGTCTCAACAAATGCTGTACCCCCGAACTTGAACCTAAACCACATTCCACTGGGCATGCCCCATGCTTTCCAGCCCGTCTCAAGGAGATGCTCCCAGTTCTACCTACAGTGCATGGGCGACAAGACTTCAGCTGACTCTCGGGGATCTACAGACTTGTGCAGCACGGTGAAGAGCTTTTTGCACCTTCAAGAACTCACTGGATACCTTTGAAGCGGCACCAGGCATCCACCGAAGGCTCCCGTCCCAGGAAACCACGCAGCATGTCGTGTCCCGGCTTCGTCGCGCACGGCTCGAGGATTTCCGAGCGAAGCCGCTCACCCGTCTCCGCGCTAAGTGGCCCGGTCTGACTGGTCCGCATGGATTCAAATATATCCGCCGCAAACACGTCGCTCCAGGCATAGCCGTACACGCCAGCATCATAACCGATGTAGAGATGATACCAGGATGCACAAAAGTTCGTATTCGGCAGTTGCTTCAAGGATGTGCATTTCTCGACAACCAACCTATACAGTTCGGGTGGTGAGAGCCCAGCTTTCCCATCGAAAGAATAGGGAGGAGCTTGCGAGTGCAGCAACAGATCGATCATGGACATGGATATAAGCCGGCTTTCCTGTGTGCCTGCCACGGTAACCGCATAGCAAGACTTAGGGTTCGCGGCTAAGGGTTCCGACAATGGGGCCTGACAAACGCTCATCACTTGAGAATCTGCCTTAAACCTTCCTGCAATCTTAAAGTGAAAACGTTTCCACAACCTTTAGCCGGGCCGACCAGGCGGACGGTGAGTGAGGAGCGTTTACAAAGACGACTCATTGGGTGAGATGCGTTTTGTGACATGTTGGCCTGCCATGAACCTTTCCAGCTTCTGGATCTGTTCGATAGCTGCTGCATCCAGCTTGCTTCCGTCTCCTGAGAAATGCCGGGCCACTCGGTGGAGCAGGGAGGGCTCGCCGGCGAACTTCTCCAAAGCCATGGAGGGCACCTCCAAGAAATCCTGCTCGACTCCACCGGGCCAAGGCACCATCGGCCAGGCCCAGGAGAGAATAGAAAAGCGAGTCTGAGTACACAAGCAGTGCATGGCATGGCCAAGCTCATGAAACAAAGTCTTCATCTCGGTGAGCCGCAGCAGTGCCGGCCTTCCTCCTTCCGGGCGAGCAAGGTTCGAGATGTTCACGCAAGCCGGGACGCACTTCACGCACTCCTCTCCAAAGCTCGTGAAGGCTGGTGCGAGGGGTAGGATCATCTGATGCGCAAACTTCCCATCACGTGGAAACTGGTCCAAATATAGATGTCCGACAAGCCTGTCGGACTTGCACTCCTTGACCTCAAAAGCCACGACCTCCTCATGCCACACAGGCAGCCCGGCATTGCGCTCGAATTTCAGACCGAGAAGCTCGGAATAAACTTCAAGAATACGATGAGTGGTTCCCTCTAGTGGAAAAAACTCCTTGACTTTTGCATCATCCAGGTGCAACTCCTCCCTTTGCAAGAGGTCAGTATAGTAAGACATGTCCCACGCATCCAGACAATGTACAACTGGACTGTCCTCGGCGATCCGTCAACTGGCCCGCACAGTTGATGCTGCTTCTACGCTGTTCTGAGTCGCGTGCTTTCTGTTTCCAACAGGTAACTAATGCTTAATCTGGGATCTGCTTCAGTCTGACAAGGCTCCGCTTCATCCAGCTTTCGCTTCCGGCTCGAAGCTTCGGGATCTGCGTCTTGGCGCTGCTTCCTCACAATTGGGACCACGACGAATTTTGTTGAAGCATCTTGGTTCTCAGCAAGCTCGCAACATATGTGGCACGGCGAAGATCTGACAGGAGAGTCTCTGGTCATGCTTTCACATCACGAACGGTCGGATTGCTGAAGCAGCCTGATGCCGAGAATATCACAACGTTGGTCGGTTGGCGTGCGGCTTTTCTCTTCTTCTTTCGGGCTTTTCTAGCACGACTGTACGAAGCGCCTGGGGGCAAAAGTGCACCTAGAAGCTGGACTTTGGAGTGCGTTTGGGAGCTGGAGCCTGGGCATGCTACGGTCTTTGCTTCCGTAGTTGAGAGAGGAAGCTCAAGCTCAAGAAGCTCCTTTGCACTGGGTAGGAGAAACTCAAGCTTGTAGAGGAGGGTCAGGACTGATTCTTGAGAGCCGGACACCTCTCATCACCCACGGAAGAGCCCCTGAAAGACCACCGTCAGTGGGGCGAGAACAGGTGAGATCGGCCATTTACGACGTAGAGCAGCTCTTCTGCTGTACAATCCACCAAACGAGAGTCCACTCCCGGCAGGGTTTGCAGGGACCAAAAACACTCGAGCTTTTTAAACTTTGGCACATTAGGATGGGACAATCGCAAAACAGGTTTCTTTACATGCACAATAAATCGGTGGAATGCTGACAACTTTGAAACACACTGTGATAAATATTGTGCTTCTCTGGTTATCACTTGCCACAGAGATAGTTAATTTGTACAAATTTCACTAAAGTAAACTTGTCACCACCAACTATGGTCTCTGTCCACTTCCCCACAGAATCCCACAAGCACTGCTCCGCCAATGTGGCCGGCTTATCTTCCGATCAAAGCACGGAAGGATGCGGCAAGCGCTGCCCAGCCCTCTCGAGACAGCCGGTTCATGCTGTCTGCGTTGTGGAGCTAAACGGCTGCAAGTCAGCTTGGATCCCTCACTCAAGAAGAAACCTGCGAAGACACGCCATTGGTTGTGTCCAAGGGGGTCCGATATCTTCTGGACCGAATGATTCCAGCTAATTCCAACTTCTTTTCCCCCCGCATCACATTCATGTTGAGTTAACTTTTGCTGTTCGCTTAGATGCGATTCTTTCGGCAGAGGTCAAACGTAACATGAAGATGGTGGTGTCATTTCCGTGCATGGCGTTGGCCATCCAAGCCTCCAATTTGGCCCACTGGTGAACCAGCCTTGGCACCTGCTGCTAAGGGAATTACCATGAGTTCCAAATGCTTTTCGAGAATGTCATTGTGTGTTCGGGAAAGCACGGAATGCAGTGCAAATGTGCTTTCTTGCAGAGTCCTTGAGCTCAGTTTCAGCAGCTCAGCATCACGAAGAGGCCGCAGGCGCCTCTGCATGTCCTGAGCACGGTCAAGGGCGCTGCAACTCCGACATCCGTGCCTCGCTATGCCCAGCCTCGCAGAATTGTCGCACAGCATCTGCCGTTCCAGCCTGACGCCAAACAAACAGAAAACTGAAAGCAGGGGGCCCATGTCAAACCCCGCAGGAGGCGCCCAGTCCCCCCACGCCCCCGCACCGGGCCATCTTCTGCGAGGTCACTCGCTCCGCGTGGCAGCGAAAGCCGAGGCGCTCCGCCGCTTTGTGGCGCAAGGAGAGGATCTCCTGACGCCGCTTTCGACGCTCACTGCAAGCCACTGCAGAACGCGCAGCTGGGCGTTGCACCGGTGCACTCAAGCCTCAAGGAGTGGGCCGTTCTTCTCGCATCGCTGCTGGCTCGCCTGGCACGGCGGCAGAGCCAGCGCAGAAGTGAGATGAAGTGATCACAAGTGATCCAAGCCTCCAGCATGCGCCGGCGGGTTGAACTGCTGTGCGCCCTCTGCATGATGGGACCGAGAACGGGTGCTTTCAGGGAGCAGCGCTTCAGCGAGCTGCCGGGTGCGCTCGGAAGGCTCTGGATGAAGGACTCCTCGCAGCCGAACAACTCCTCGACAGTCAAATCCACCGAGCTGCAATCTTCGTTGATGTTCTGTTCCACCTCGAAAAAAAACCAGCCAGACATTCGGAAGCAGCCCATGGCTATGGCCCCAAGATGCCCCAAGGCTATGACCCTCTACATGATCTTTCAGGCCGTGCCTGGAAGGCGAGTTCTTTGCAACGCCGATCTAGGGACGCGAGCTCTTCCCGGTCCTCGGAAGTCAGTCCGCAGCCGGACTGGCGAAACTTCTCCAACACCACCGTCACCAGACGAATCTCTTCCGTTGTCTTTGCGGCGTCTTTGGCCGCATGCAAGATTTCATAGAGATCTGGTCGCGTGTAAGTTTTGGACCACATGTCACTGAGGCTTTTCTTGGCAGCGGCGGATGCTGCTCGTGCCTCCGGATCGCCACTGACCAGTGCAGGCAAAGTCAATTCCACAGACGCTAGCGATGCAAATCCATCGGCATCCGCCAACGCGCCAAAGGTTGATGCAAAGGACACACTGTGGCCCGACTCAGCAGCAGATACCAAACTTGAGATCCTTTGTTCGTACGCCTCATGCAGTACTTTCACACCTGAGCGAATCTCTTCGGCGGACTTCGTGAGGTGCTGCTGATGAACACCAGTTGTTGACATCATGGCAACAGTCGAAAGTCGTCTCGCCTGTATGCGACAAACGCAAGCAGCTGCCAGGGTTTCAGCCAAACAGCCAACGCGGCTCAGACGGTGTGCTCGTGTCGCTCGTGCATGCACTTGTGAAAGATGTGCGTGCGCGACATGTGCATGTGCACGTCTCCACAGGGCCACAGTCACAGGCATGGCAGGGTTCAAAAGCCTTGGCTCAAAGCCAGAGCTCCAGGGTAGTCCAAAGAGCATCGCATGAAATTAAAACTGTGATTAACGCCTGGGCCGAGATCTCCCCGGCTCTGAGCTGCACGTTTCCCTCTCTCGCAAAAACCCTCAGGCAAAACGCACCTCGAGGTACGAAGCAGCCTGCTGAGCCATCTGGATCCGGCCGGCCTAGGAAAGCGTTCACATGATGATGCTCCTTCCCCCATCCGTCATGAGCGCACAAACTTGGCGACTTCAGCATCGCGCCGTTTTGTTCTGCAAGATGCAGCTGAGACTTGATGCTTCGGTGAAAAAGACGGCTTCGACTGCCTGAGGCTACAACGCCTGTTGACGCTCACGGATCTTGCTGCCTCGTTTGGTCTGTCGATCTGTTTCAACTTCTTGTTGGCATCAGAAGGTCGTGCTGGAAGCCATGGTCACCTCAAAGTGCCGGCCTGCTCATCAGCAGCAGCGTGTCTTCCAGGTCGACAAGATCTCGGGGTGCGTGGCCTATGCCGCGTTGCCAATTCGTCGAGGAACAACGCTTTGTAAGCCATCGCTGTTTGCAACCTGCCGTCGGCGAAGCAGCAAGCAGACGCATGTGTACGACAAGCTCGCAATAAGCAAAAGCCAAATGGATGCGCTCAGAACTCCTCGGCTCGGCAGAACTTATCATCACATCTCCTATCCCCCCTGCGTGCCCCTGCAACTGAATGTCAGGAACATGAACTCTCACACTAATCTGCTGTTTTGGGGTATAGCAAACTGCACTTACTCAGGAAGAGGTCCAGGACAAGACACCGAAGTGGACAACCAGCTGAGAGCAGATGTACGGCGTGGGCCCTCCCAGCAGCGCTGCCGACAGGTTGTAGCTGATGCCCATGGCCATGACACGGATGTCCACTGGGAAGGAACTGTGCATCAAGTATGGATTGCCCCAGGCAATTAGGCCACCTCCAACAGCCAAAAAGGACTGCGAGAGGAAAGAAGCCCAAAAGACTCGCAGGTCGAAGAGAAGGTATGCCGGAACTGCAAGGGCAGCCAATAAGGCCATGCCCCTGCGGACCGAAGTCAGAAAGTTGAAGTCACTGCGGCATGCTGCGATGCCAACCATGAAAAGGGAAGGTGCCAGCTGCATAAAGGTGTTCAACTCTGCACCACCGGGCATAGGTGGTGCAGACGTTAATGTGCCCTCATACACTTGCTGTATCCATATGAAATTCTGGTACCATGTCACAGGAGTGATGGCCTCGACACCGATCATCAGCAAAACATCCGGGAAGTGCGCCCAAAGAGCAGCCCAGATCGGTTGCGACAGTTGCCCCGCCTGCTGGGCATCTATAAACTCCCGTGGATCAGCAACCTGCCGCCGCAAGAAGATAGCCACTATACCGACGACCAAACCGAGCCAGAAGCAAATTCTCCATCCAATGCTCGCCATGGCTTCAGTGGAGAGCGCATGACGCATCAGCACGACAACTCCAAATCCAGAGAAGGTGCCCAATGCAACAGAGACAGACATCAAAGCACCCGAGATTGTCTTGTTCTGGCCCGGTGCGTGCTCCATGCTGAACACCAATGCACTCACGTACTCACCGCCGATGGCAATGCCTTGCAGCAAGCGCAGAATCACCAACAGGATGGTTGATAGCCAGCCTGCGGTCTGGTAGGTCGGCAAGCAGCCGATGAAGAAGGTGGGAAACATCATCAGCAGAATGGAGGTCCACCTGACCAGAATGACAGCAGAGGACAAGCAAGGTCAATCCAAAACCAATAAATCAGTGTCATGTTTATGTCCAGCCACAAAGCGCACTTGCGTCCAAGTCTATCTCCAATGATGCCGATGAGAATTCCACCCACAGGTCGGGAAATGTAGCCCGCAGCAAAAGCAAGAAACGACTGCATCACCTGAACAGATGCATCGTGATCTGGAAAGAAGTGCTGACCCAGGAGATCGGCCAGCGCTGCATAAACACCGAAATCGTACCACTCCAGCCAGTTCCCCAGGGCTGCTGCGATAAACTTTTTGTTGACCTGATTTGATCTCGTGTTGCGGATCTGATTGCTCACTACTCTCGTTGAAAACATGAAGCGATGAAACTGCTCGATGTGCAGGTCATGGCACAACTCTGTCCTTGACTTCCACCGCGCCACTGAACTCCGGGTCGCTGCTTTCATCCATGTACCCACAGGCTGGCTACAGGCCGCGGGCAGCCCCACTCAAAGAGCTGACCGCAAACGTGCTGCGAGTGCAGATTGGCAGAGAAGTCGCGGTGGACGCACGGCAAAATTGCACTTCGAGGGCCCTGCAGGAAGTCCTTTGCCTGCTGCAGTGATGTCTACCTTGGGACGAAACTCTCACAGAGGTCGGATGCAGGATAACGCTACGACCTGGGACATCCTGGGACCGTCACCACGGGACGCTGAAACTCTGTTGCAGGCCGCTGCTGGAGCCGCACCTGCCCGTCTACGAAGTGGCACATCCGGGCTGAATAAGAAAGGATCTTCCTTGGCTCGGCACCTTCATCTGAGGATCAAAAGCAACCTCGAAGGTATCCTGGCACAGTCAGGCAAGGAGTCCGAAGAACTGGGAACCTGCTCTCGCCATGCGCAGCCATGCGATCTCCTGCATGGGATCGATGCTGACCATCTGGGCAGGCGCCAGTGGGGTCAGCACCTCCACCTCGGCATTAGACATCACTAGACTATGTCATTAAGTCACAAGGCGCCATCACTCAAACTCGTTGTTGGCACAACGTCTCGCCTTCATTTGCAGCGGCTGCGCTGGCGAATCGTTGAAGCGAAAGTGCTGCCCTGTTTGGGACACCTCCAGGCTTTTCGCATCTGTTGGAGCATCGGCTCGCCCAAATCGGAAGTGTACAGAGGCTTGAGTCGTTCGACGGGGAGCTTCAGAGACGAGCAGAGAGACGGAAGTGACCCCGTTTCAGCCGCTGGCAGCTGCTTGTCGCTTCAAGTCGCCCCACCTAACGCACAGGCGTGATGCCACCTCCAATCCAAACACGCTTAAAACGCCGAGCTCCGGGCTTCAATGACAGGACCGAGCCCTCGGGCAGGCCCTCGCTGCCCAGCAAGATCACCTGAACAGGACTGCACCCCTTATACACCCCTCGTACGCACCCACCATACACCCTCGAGGTCACAGCACCTCCATGGTCCAACTCGCTGCGTCGGTCTTCGACGTAGCCAACTGGCCTGACACTGCTCGCCAAAAAGCTGCGACCGTTTTTATCGGGCACCCGCCGCTTAACCGCTAAACTTTTCTGACGAGGGGAAGGGGTGTAGGGAGGCGTAGGGTGGGGGCAGACCGGCGACACTGAGAGGCGGTGCGACCGTCCGTCCAGGGAATGACTGCGGCTACATGATCTAGCTGTATCGTAATCTGCTGCTGTGTCGGTGAATGCTGAAGTGCACAGGTGCTTTCCAGCTCACATTCATGTTCTGATGCTTCCCATTCCTGGCGATGGCCTGCTAGGAGCAAGAATGCCTTGCACCTATCTCCTGTTTCTACTCATCAGCTCTTTTCGGCGACTCCTTCAATCTTTGGGACCACAACCCTTGGTGCTGGCCTGAAGATTGCCGTGCAGCGAGCTCAGGTCAGGGACATTTGTCCTGAAACATTCCTGCCTGGAGCCTGAGACAGCTGCACTTTGCCGAGAGTACAACAAGCTCAGCTGCGGCCCATGAAACCCACCCGCACAGTAGCAAATGACCTCGAACCATCCTACACACGGGAGTTCGGATGCCATGTCAATGCTCTGCTGACGGCGGTCACGAGTACTGGAGGCCTGATTAGGCAGTCGGACGCAATGTCTTTTTGACTCGGCGATTTGGCCGTGATTGTCACATGTTTTAGACAACCAGCGGGTGACACGGTGCCGAGACAGCGGTGACTCTGAGCGGGTCTTGGTGTCGGTCCCTTCAGCTCTTGGAGGGCCGCCGTGGCCTCAGCGCGGCGCGGGCACTGCCAGGCCTGCACCCATCGGCGAGTTGCTAGGCATCGCGCAGCCAAAGGAAGTCCCAGCCTTCTCTGCGATCCAGGTCGAGGCGTCGCATACGCAGCCAGTGTGCGGCCTTTCACTGCCTCGACACAGTTTCGATCATGTCCACAGACAGTAGTGCAGCTGCACATGGTGCACAAGCTGTACTAGGACAGATCGGAACAGCCCCGCCTGGAAATCTCGGTTCTCACGTGGCTCACGTGCAGACAGAGGGCAAGCTCGGTGCTGTTGAAGCTCAAGGTCCATCTCCTGTTTCACGATACTCGGCGGGGCAGCAGATCAGAAGAGCGTCTTAGAGTCTTAGACACTCTGCTGCGCTTCGGTGGCTCCTGGCGACGTCGCGCAGCAAACCGGAGACGACCACTGCGCTGGCGCTGCAGCTCTGCCTGAAAAGAAAATGGGGCAAGAACTTTGTCTGCTTGCAGCTAGTTGCTCACTCGCTGCCTCTGGTCGGGCCTCCTGTCTGTCCCTCTGCGACACCTCCATCTGTTTCTTCTGCTGCTGCAACATCTCCTGGTTTATCTCCAGACTCACCTTCACGCTCTTCTCTTGCTTGCTCTTCACAGCCACACTAAGACTTGTGCGCCTCTGTGCGCATGTACTGCCTCTTGCACACACTACACACACACAGGCACGACGCGAAGGCAGCTCTATATTGCTACAGCACAGGCGCTCACCGCAAATTACGCACAGTCTAACATCCTTGTTGCTGGAAAGCTTTGATAACTGCAGGTTTTGCTTGGAGCTGAAGCTTTCAGTTCCCAGTTCCCGAAGTAGGCTACCTCGTCCTGTCTTTGCCGACGTCCTGAGCATGCACAAAGAAGGCAGAGGTCCTGTCCTGCTGCCATTTCAGCTGAGGTCCAGGCTTACCTCGAGCTCAGCTTCCTTCCTGGCCAACCAGTCGCGGATGCGAGCCTCGACAACAATCCAGTACCAGACGACCCGCGCGCAACCCGCAATCCACTCGCTACAGAGCAACTGACCTGCTTCATCTGGCGGGCTTGCACATCACGGCCTGGTTCCAGCTCGTCGGCCTCCATTTCGATGGGACCCAGTCAACACAACAAGCATCGCATTGATCTGTCCGAACCGGGACAAGCACTTGCAAAACCAAAACGTCGTCACAAGTGCAATTCTGCGGACATCGTTTCACAGCGCACATCACAATTTCTCTTTGAGCAAGACATTGATAGCAGCATTGGCATTGCCAACCCTTGTGCGTTGTACCAGGAGGTCGTCGTCAACGAAAGCGACCTATGGGAAACTCCACACAGCTCACTCCACAGCACAATCAACACCGCAACACTCAAGGTAGACTGGCCTCGAAAACTCCAGCACCCGGCGGTAGCGGTAGGTTCAACGCAGGCACCGTCAGCTGCAGTCCAGCCACTTCCTCCAGCCGGGTTGTGCTGTAGCGAAAGACGAGCTCGACGAGAAATGAGTCGTTCATCGGAGTTACAATCCTCCACGTGCAGTTGACTTCCTGGGAAACCTTGCTACCCAGAGGAGACAAAAAATCTATCTCGTTTCTTGCGAAACTTGCAGTCAGAAATGACTGTCCCACTCGGTCTGTCTGCCAACCCAGCGGCAAGGTGTTGAGAGAGGTTAAGTCTGGGGAAGACGTGTAAACTAACTTCCAGCGGCCTCTGAGCAAGTCTCGTCGCATGTTCACATCTTGCACAGCCCTGAAGTCTAGAGCCAAGGTATCGACGAGCTCCGCTGCCCTCTTGCGATCCGCAAGGCTTGCGCTAAATCTGTTGCCCGCGGCTGCGAGGTACAGCAATTCCCGCTTGCAACTCTCCACAGCAGCTGTGTCTTCTGCAGGTCTTGCACTTCTGTGGCAGGATTTGCTTCGCGAACGCGCAGGAGTAGAGCGTGCGAGAAGAAGAACGGCAGGAGCCAAGCAACTTCTGAGCCTCGCAGCCCTGCTCGCGCTGCTCCTGACGTGCCCTAGATGCCAGCGGGCAGGCCCTTGCCAATGAAGTCGAGCTCGAGCAGAGCTTGCCTGTGCAAACCACGCTGGGTCCACCAACTCCATGGCGAATATGACTACAGGCTCTGGCTTAGCCAAGCTGATTGCCGTCACAACAGGTCATGAGACAAAGCATGAGACAAAGATTGAGTGAGTGAGTGGGTCAGTTTAGAGTGGAGTAGAGTAGAGTGAGTGGGTGAGTGAGTGCGAGACAGAGACAGACAGAGAGAGAGAGAGAAAGAGGAAAGAGAGAAAGAGAGACAGAGAAAGAGAGAGAGAAAGAAAGAGAAAGAGACAAAGAGAGAAGGCAGCTGCAGGTCCTAAATCATGGCCATGCATGCACGTGGGACTTTTATCGTGCTTCGATGAACATGTTCCCTGTAACTTGAAGCCCTGCTTCACGGAGCCATGAAACGACTCCTTCGCTGTCTAACTCACATCCTTCGTAGGTTGCTTCAGAATCGTGGCGAGAACTGCCAAACTGCGACTCAAGCGTCGAAGCCAGTGACAGCAGCCGCTCCACCAGCCACTCCGCCTTCGCCGAGCGCGTCGGGAAGGCCTCGGAGGCGGCCTCCGCCGGGTTCGGAGCTCGAGGGAGCTCCTCGAGCTCCTCCTCCGGCGCCGGCGGGGTCTCCCAAGGCAGAGTCCGCAAAAAGCGAATATCTGTAATGGCACCCACTCGGTACAGCGATTCGAGGATGCTTTCGTCCAGAGGCATCAACTCTTGCAAGACTTCGTTGGGGCGACCGAAGACTACCGCTTCAAGAAAGAGGCCATCCTCCCTTCGTCTTACGGAGGCGATTCCAGCGAGAAAGCCAAGGCGCCCCTCTGCACGTAGTGAGACGGTGGCGCAGCTGGCAGCTGCCGAGCTCAAGTTGGAACGGTACGATGCTTTGGGTCCAGGTTTGAGCTGCAGTCTGATCGAGGCTGCGCCGGCCTCTTTGGTTAGCCTCGTTGAATATCCCACAACAAGTGCAGGCACGGCGCTGCCCATGGCCGCAGCAGCGGCGGCACGTGCAGCCTCCACAGACACCCGCAAAGGGAAGCTGTGGCTTGCCCTCCCCGTCGGGCAGAGCACCGGCACAGAGTTGTCAGACGAGGACGTGATGACACCACCCATGGATGGCAAGTCTTCAAGAAGTCTTCGAGATCTGAGAACATTAACATTCTTTAACTCACCATAGAAGAGACAGGCCACTCCTCTTTATCTAGGCTCATTCATGGAGAAGCTATACTGCAGAAAATTAAGCTGTTGTGGCGGCAGGCAAACGCTAGTGCGTGACTTCTCGCAAGTCTGCGCGCAAGCTCCACACAAAGGGCTCAGAGAGGGTTCGAAAAGTCTTCTGCCTGTGTCACAGTGGCGGGTGGAGCGGCAGGCCGACGCCTGGACACGGTGGAATCCAATGAGGGCTTGGGGCTGCAAACCTTTAGCAGAAAGGAAGCCACGATCCTTGCACTCGCAGAACGATGCATGAGAAGCACATCGCTGGGTCTCCTGCAACTCAGCGCACAAAGTTCTGCAGTTCATCTCAGTAGCACACCATGTCTTAGTAAGACCAGCTGCGTCACGGTCCTCCCCTGTCTTCGGAGAAGAGGCGGCTCCGCCATGGAGCACATGCAATTGAAGCAGGTCGAATCGACCTTTCGCCAGCAAAAGCAAATCCATTTGCCGTCTCTCAGCACGGCAAGGTTTGAGGCTGCCGCAGTGCAGTCACATGCACCACAAGGCACCTGTCCTGCCCGCAGCAACGGAAAAATGCAAAATATGGCGCTCACGGTCATGGTCACTGGTCACTGGTCCTTCGGGCATGTACTGAGCAAGCCCCTGACATGCTAAGGTCAAAGAACGTCATGTAATGTTATGAATGCAGAGATCTTTCAGAGGTGATGCACTGGCCTTGGTTGACCCACCCAAGCTAGTAGCCGAAGTCTGGCTACTGCGTGCAGACCTTGGAAAGACAGTCTCTTGCCGGAACACACAGGCCAGATAAGCAAGTCTGGACATCCAGAAACAAGCTCACGCATGACGTTGACCTGCTCGGAAGATTGGGAGGCAGAAACAACAGCAACCCAGCTGCCATGGTCGTCGCGATCGGCACGAATCATATGGTGCCTGAGAAGCTTTTCTCAGACATACTCCTGCGAAAGGGTAGCACAGCTCCTGAGTTCGCGGCACCTGGCGCCCACAGGCGAGGTCCCCTTCCTAGCATGATCAAGTTGTAATGAATGTAATGACCGTCAGTGGAAGCCAGAAGTTCCGTCCTCGCGACACCTTGTTTGCTGAAGCAGGCCTGCACAGCAACCATGAAGATGGAACAAGCAATGGGGTAGGGAAGAACCCATTTGCCATGGCGCCTCGAAGCCACCCCAGGTGGACCCCCAACTCGAAATGCCGAGGAGGGCCTGCACGCAAGTAAGTATCTTTGTCAATGCCCCTGCCAAGACCATGTTTCGTTGCGCATGCAGACTGAACCGCTGCATCTCGCTGCGCCCAAGCGCCTGCTTCCCTTTGCCAACAGACTCATGTCTTGTTGCTGTAGATGCGTGTAGGCTCTGCTGGGAACAATACGTGGCCGATTGATTTTGTTCAGCGTCGGATAGCGGGGGGACCGAGGTAAATGAATGCATTCTCCCTTCTTGCTTCCCCTCGGTCTGGTGCTCTTTCCTGAATATGTGGATCCGGAGTTTCGGCTGATCGTTCGCTTAGTTTGCCCTGGCCATTGCCGCCCTCCTCTCGCGTTGCCGCTTGCAGCTTTTCTCTTTTACGGCTGTCGCCTTTGCGGGACATGAGTTGCAAGATCATGCTCACCTTTCTAGCAGCTAGCACGGTTCCCTTTCCCAGCCATGAGCCTCTGAGCCGACTAGGCACTGCTCCTTCGTTTAAGCTTTATTCCACAACTTGACATCGTGCAAACACGCTTGCGCACCGAGACCGGCTGACGCAGCCGCCAACCGGTGTAGATGGCCTGGAAGCGGCATGGATCAGGATTGGAAACCTAACTGCATTGGAACACTCACCGAAGTGCAATACAAGTTCAATCGTGCCTTCGGACGTCAACATTCTCCAGTTGACCTCATGTGCTCTTGCACTCCGACTTTCCATGTTCTGCCCTCTTCATCACCTAAGCATTACCATGACCTGGGTCCTAGATGATCTGATGAGTCCGCTTCGGAAGCAGCTCACAGATTTGCTCTCAAAATGGGCGAGCGGCCATCGAATGAACTTTCGGTCAAGGTCTCTCCAGCAAAGGCATCGCTGCCCTTTGCGCCAATGGTTGTACGGTACTGTCGGACTGGCCGCGTCAACCACCGCCGCTTTTCCAATGAGCCAGTGTTATCGTACAGGCTCCTGCAGTCCGGTTTGCAGCCCAAGGGCCACACTCAAAAACACGCGCTGCTACCACAACTGACTCCTGATAGCCCGGACCAAATGCTGCGAAAGGCCAAGCTCATGCAGCGACGGACATTGCCGTGGCGAGAACATGTCGCCCTCCAGATCACTCGCATGCGGAGCAGAAGCATCACAGCTTGCATCCGTTTCTGGCGCCATGGCTCCCGGGGACATCTTGTCAACACGGTTAGCAACAGCACACTGTATACCAAGGACCTGACCAGCCTCTTTCAAAAAATGCAAGCTCAAAAACATGACGTCCACGCAAATGCCGCCAAAACCAATTCTACAGCCTACAGATACGGACACGTCCGAAACATGCAGAGCCATGAGAGAGAGTGCTACGGGCACAGGAAGCACAAACCCGGAAGAAATCATGCCTGTTGCTTCGTTTCGGGCATTCTCTCGCTTTTAAATGTTGCAGCTGGGACTTGCGCTAAGGCTTTCAAGATCCGGGATAAACGGTAAAAGAGACGGGACGAGACACGGCACAAACAACAGCGTCTTTCTGTGTCTGTCAGAACACGACGCAGATGCACGATGCGGCTTCTGCTGAGTTTTCAACCAACACAAGGCACGTTTGTGGCCTATAGTGTAGCCTACATGCGTGCAATCCAGCACCCATCATGATGGCACGGCATGTGGGCTGAATGCCACCCATCAACAACACATGATTGCTGACAACACGGCACTTCGCACATCTTTGTGAATTGTTTTGTATCTGAATGGGCTGACAGCCCCGGTGTCAAAAAGGCACCAACAAGAGGAAGCGGAATCAGCCAGTTGTTTTGGTTGTTTCAAAATTCGGAACAAGGTCATTCGAGCTGCAAAACATATTATTCTGACACCTCCAAAATCATAATATCGAAATGAAAGTTTTTTGCTGCTTGAAAACGTCTCCAGATGCGCAAGTCAAATGTGAAAACATAAGTGCAATCACATGCGGATCAACAAACTGAGCATCCTAGGAGCCAACTCTTCAACACTCCGCTTTACGAAACTTCAGATTAGTCTTTCGGAGGATTTGCCCGTCTCCTTCTCAACAACAGCTTGAACTAGTTCATGCATTCAATAGGTCTTCATTCCAGAATTGCCGTAATCATTGGCTTATCACCATCTTGACGCAACATTGTACAACTACAACTAATGAGCTCGAAAACAGGGAGCCTTGCTGTTCTGTCTCGCTGCTCCATGTCTCCCACACTAAGCAACTCATGGAAGACATTGGAGTTTAGGTGGAGTTGCCACTGGAGAGGTGGCGTTTTTGACACAACCCCTCCTTGAAACCTTGATGTCTCTGCCACTGGAACTTCAACCTTACAGCAAACATTGTGAGAACACCAACTCAACCAAAACGAATTTCATGTTTCATCTTCTTCCACATCTCTCTTTCTCTCTCTTATATCCATGTTTCA